AACGCTGAGGTGAGTTCATGTGCTGTCTTAGCCTGTGGTCCTTCAGTGAATCTCTTTTGTGTTCGTCAGTTGCTGACAGCTCTGTTTTCTCTATTGCCTGAATGACTGAAATGGACTGAAAATTATTCTCTAGCTGAGGCTGAAGATGTAGTGTGTAGATCAGTGATTTTTAGAGCACTTGCCCGCCTTGGTGAGATCCTGGATTTGATCCCTAGCAACACACCCGCATGCACGCACGCGCGGATTCATTTCTCTTTGTTTATTGTATTTAAGTAGAAATTAGTGTTCATAAAGCATGTGATCCCTCCCATCCTAGGGTAGGTAGGTTTCTGTTTGGTTTAGGCATTGGGTAACTCAACAAAACCTTTCTTGTTTGTCAGTAGTGTGTTTCCAGACAAGCAGAGATAATGAGGCCTGCTTACTTTCTCTTGTCTTGTGTGACATCATCAAACGTTAATGCTTAGTATGTGCCAGACATTATTCTGTTTTTGATATGTATAGACTCATTAACACAGTAATAGTAGTTACTGTTTATCTCTCTGTTTATAGAGGATGACACTGAGGCAGAGAGGCTAAAGAACTTACTCAGGGTCACATTTCTAGTCAATGCAGAACCAGGACCTCACCCAGACAGTCAGACCTACAAGGCCCCTCTTACTGACCTCAGTACCGCTGACCTCAGTGGTGCCTAGAGGGAAGTGTGCTTCCCACCACTTTCCTGAACTTCGAATTTTCCTGCTGGGGACCCAGAGATTCTCTCATGCTGGCTCTCCATCTAGTTTTGAGATTGTTTTCTGTTGTTTGGAATAGAGCTTATTGGTTAGTTTGAAGAAATGGATGTTGTAAATGATGTAATTGGGTCTGAGTTGGTTTAAATCTATTGAGAACCTTTGCAGGTTAGTGTTGTGTTGAAAAAATGTCATTTACCCTACTAAAATGTCATTTTCTGCTGTGTTTGAGAATTGTAAGTAGCATTAGAATTGATGAGTATGTTACCAGATGGCCACACTAACTTGTGCAACCTTTCACAGTACATATTTATGTCCATCCTACATGTGACTTCTTACATTGTGAATGTTGTCCTGGTGACGATTCTTTTAAGAGGGTATGAAAGAAAAATGTCCTTTACTGGATTGAGCATAGTTTCTTTTCTTTTCTTTTTTTCTTTCTTTTTTGGTTTTTTGAGATAGGGTTTCCTCTGTGTAGCCCTGGCTGTCCTAGAACTCATAGAGATCCACCTGCCTCTGCCTCCTGAGTACTGGGATTAAAGGTGTGCACTACCACCGCCAGGCTGAGCATAGTTTAAGTCTTCGGAAGATAAATGTGGAGGAAATGCATTTGCCAAACACTGAGACAGCATCAGGGAGAATTTTCTTTTAAAAAAGATTATGAGCCGGGCGGTGGTAGCGCAAGCCTTTAATCCCAGCACTCGGGAGGCAGAGCCAGGCGAATCTCTGTGAGTTCGAGGCCAGCCTGGGCTACCAAGTGAGTTCCAGGAGAGGCGCCAAGCTACACAGAGAAACCCTGTCTCAAAAAACCAAAAAAAAAAAAAAAAAGATAATGAAAGTGTAGGGGCTGGAGAGGTGGCTTGGCGGTTAAGAGCACTGGCTGCTCTTCCAGAGGACCTGGGTTCAATTCTTAGCACCCACATAGGTGCCATCCATAACTCTAGTCCCAAGAGATCCAAGGCCCTCCTATGATCTCCATATGCATCAGGCACACCATACATATATATACATGAGGTAAAACACTCATACACACAAAATAAAAATAAACAAATCTTTAAAACATTAAAAAAGTTATCAAAGTAATATACCCAGATGCTGGTGTTCATGTATGTGTATGTGCATCCATTTGAAAAAAAAAAAACCTTATCTTTTACTTTATTATTTTATATGTATAGGTGGTGCATGCTTGCACATCTATGCACCACTGTGCTGGTCATGAAACCTAACTGCATTTAGCATATTAGTCACAATTCTTATCACCCACAGTCTCAGAAGTTCATTATGGTTTTTTAACCTTGTGCTAATTTAGAAGCATATTGTTTATGAAGTTTAGAGGAATTGTAATGTGATTTTTTTTTTTTTTTTCAGTCCTGGGGATCAAATCTAAGGCCTTGGGCATATTAGGCAAGAGGAGAGGCAGGGGCTCTTGCTTGGTAGCCCAGATTTGCATTGCATTCAGGCACCAGAACAAAGCTGTGCAAAACCAAGTGTGTAAAAGTCATGGACTGAATATTAATTTCCACACAAAATTTATATGCTGAAACTAATTTCCAATATAATGCCATTTAGAGGCAAATACTGGCAGGTAACTAGTCATGACGGTAAAGTCCTCTTGATGAGATTAATGCATTTCACATGAGTCAGCTGACTATTAGTAAGAGTTTGAGGGGTTTTGTTTTTAGTGCTAATGATTGACTCCACGGCCTTATGCATGATAAGCATACACTCTTATCACTGAATTATACCCCAGCCCGAATAAGGTACCCCTCCCCTCCCCCAGACAGGGTTTCTCTGTGTAACAGACCTAGCTGTCCTGGAACTCACTCTGTAGACCAGTCTGACCTCAAACTCACAGAGATCCACCTGCCTCTGCCTCTCAAGTGCTGGGATCAAAGGTGTGCACCACCACCGCCCAGCTAAATAAGGTATCTTTAAACTGAAATACATATTCTGAGGTTAAGCATTGATTTTTTGCTGAAAGCGTTTTGACTTCATGCTCTAAAAATCACTGCTCTGTAAGTCGTGTAGGAATAGGGGCTCAGGGTTTCCTGACTGCTGTCATCTCTAATGACTATCACTGCTAGGAGTTTGTAGATGTTTTGATCTAATGTATCTTAAGTGTGGCTCTTAGTTTATCTTACTAGACCGCATTTACCCTCTTGGATGTGTAATTTCATTTTCATCGCACTTATGGACTTAGTAGTCATCATCCTTCAAATAGTCTTTGTTCTGTTCACACTAATATGCTGATGGTGTCCTGTAGGTCTCAGAGCCAAGTCTTCCCGTTAGTTCTTCTTTCTATTCCTTAGTAAACCCATCTGCAGGTTTACTGCTTCCTGTTGGGATCTGCTGGTGAGCCACACAATGTATTTCTTGTGTTAATTTTGTGTTTTTTAACTTCAGAATCCTGTCCTGGTGCCTCTGACAGGGTCTTACTTTATAGTTCAAGCTGGACTGATACTCACTATGTACCTATACTTGGGCTAGCCTCAAACCTCTACCTCCTTCTACTTCAGCGTCCCAAGTGCTGGGACTACAGGCATAAGCCACTTCATCTGTCTTGATTCCAGAATTTTTATTTGTTTATTGGCTTTGTTTGTTTGAAACTCAAACGGTAGCCTGGACTGGTTTCAAACTCATGTACTCCTCCTACCTCAAGCTCCAGAGTGCTATATTTGGTTTTCTTTTTCCTTTTTTTCTTTTGTTGTTGCTTTAAAAAACTATTAATTTTTTCTATATATTTTGATCATGTTATTTCCCCTCCCCCTGTATTTGGTTTTCTTAAAAGTAGTTTCTGGGCCTGGAGAGATGGCTCAACAATTAAGAGCACTGATTGCTCTTCCAAAGGACCTGGGTTCAATCCCCAGCACTTCCATGGTAGCTCTCAACTGTCTATATAACTTCAGTTCCAGGTATCAATGCCCTCTTCTGGCCTCTGCAGGTGCCAGTCTCACTCATAATGCCCAGACAACATGCAGACAAAATTCCCATACACATAAAATAAAAATAAGTATATCTTTTCTAGAAAAGTTAATTCTGCCTGTCAGAGTGCCTCATGCACAGTAAGGGTAAGGGTGCTTGCTGCCCAGCCTGACTGGAACTCACATGGTAGATGGAGAGAACAGACTCCCACAAGTTGTCTTCTGAACTTCACATAAATAAATAAGCAAATAAATGCAGAATTTTTAAATTGTATTTGTACAGGACACATCTACTTTTTCTTGTTACTATTAAAGAGGTTTACAGCTGACCACATAGCACTTGCATCGCCCTAGATGCTCCGAGCCATGTAGAGGCGATTCTCCCCTTTGACCATGTAGCCCTGGTTGATCTGACACTTGCTCTTTAACCTAGACTGGCCTCAAACTCAAAGCATTCCTCTGCTGCAGCCTCCCAAGTGCAAGAATTACAGATGTGCAGCACTGTGCTTGGGAATTGTAGAGCTTATTTACATTGTATGGGGGGTTGTGCACAGGTGTCATGCAGAATACTATCCACTATGCGTTTTCAGCATCCTCAGATTTGGGGACCACCAGACCCTGGACCCCATCGATGCCAGGGATGGCTCAACTCATCCAGTCCTCTTGTGAATTTGTGAGCCCTTTGAAGAAGAAACAAAGGAATACCAAATGTTGAGCAGGCCTTGTTCAAAGTGTTACCACTTAGCCAGCTTTAGATTGATTAGTTGGTCTGGAATCAGACTTAATTAGTTGTATTATCTTTGCTAGAACTTGAGGAACTTTTCTTTTTTCTTTTGAGACAGGGTCTCCTGTAATCCAGGCTGGCCTGGAACATGCTAAGTTGATGATATGACCTTAAACTTCTTTTTCCGAGACAGAATTTCTCTGTGTACCCCTGGCTGTCCTGGAACTCACTCTGTAGACCAGGCTGGCCTCGAACTCACAGAGATCCGTCTGTCTCTGCCTCCTGAGTGCGGGGATTAAAGGCATGCACCACCACCGCCTGGCCAACCTTAAACTTCTCATCCTCCTGCCTCCACCTCCTGGATGTTGGGATTGGTGGTGTGAGCCATCACAGCTAGTTTATGCAGTGCTTCCTGCATGCTGAGCCCCACATCTCTAGCTTCTGACCAAGTAGCTTTCTAACATTCCTCTTTTCATAGTCTAGCTTCACCCTGTCCTGCTTCTTTGAAACCTACTCTGATGTCTTGATATGAAGCTCACCCAGGTGGAGGCCCAAGCAGTGTAGAAGGGTTCAGAATTGCTCTTTGTCTTGCAGTCTTCCTGACTTCATCTTTCTTTCCCCTTGCAGGAAATGACTTAGAGGCCTTATGAATACATCTGTGCTTTCTTGCTTCAGACGTTACAACTGCAGGCCAACCTAGTCTGGAAGCACTTCTTACTAATGTTACAAGGAAACCACTACCTCAGCAAACAAAAGAAAGAAGACACACAGTAACAATGCCATGCTTAAAGAAAACTTGTTTCCAGAAACCGTTACAGGAGATTTGGAAGTTTTTAGCACTGAAAAGCAGCTTTCCAGGTAAATGGATTTGACAGGCAGGTTCTGTCAATTCTGCAGAGGTGTGCTCTTCCTTAAGGACTTCTTGTGAAGTAACCCCTCCGCCTAAATGCTGTTGACCAGCGTCAGGTCCTTTTTGGTATATAGAAGATACATTATATTACATTTTAAAAGTTAAGTTATTTTTCTGCTGTTGTAAATGTAAGTATCAAAATATTCTTGCAAAGCAATTATAAGTAAACATTTTCCTCAGCAAGCATTTCTTTATTGAGAGTAGGATGCTGAACAGTTATACAGCATTTCAGACACTCTTATTTTTTGTCAGAATTCCTACCTACACTGAAAATACTAATTATATAAGCCTGTTATTTTTCTCACCTTTATGTTGGATCATATGGTCACCTGCCTCATGGAAATGCCTTTTTTAAAACGTAGATTTGCAGAACTCCACTATTTTTATACCTAGCTGCAGTTTTGGAAAAAAAGGACTCAGAACCCTGACCGGCCAGTGGTCCCTGGAACAGTTCCCTACCCGCATGTATTGCTGCAGTGCCCAGGACAGTAAGATGGACTACAAGCGGCGCTTCCTGCTTGGCGGGTCCAAGCAGAAGGTGCAGCAGCACCAGCAGTACCCGATGCCTGAGCTGGGCCGAGCACTGAACGCTCCCCTGGCATCCACGGCGCCCTCTGCCCCACTGGGCAGTCTGACAGCTGCAGGCAGCTGCCACCATGCCATGCCCCACTCCACTCCCATTGCTGACATCCAGCAGGGCATCTCCAAGTACCTGGATGCCCTCAATGTCTTTTGCCGTGCTAGTACGTTCCTCACAGATCTCTTCAGCACCGTGTTCAGGAACTCACACTACTCGAAGGCTGCCATGCAGCTCAAAGATGTGCAGGAGCATGTGATGGAGGCTGCCAGCCGATTGACCTCAGCCATAAAGCCCGAGATCGCCAAGATGCTCATGGAACTCAGTGCTGGGGCTGCAAACTTCACAGATCAGAAGGAATTCAGTCTCCAGGACATTGAGGTAGAGTACCATTCCCTTTGGAAAATGTATTGCAGAGGTCAGTGAGTACCCTCAGTGTCCCCAGACTGCAGCAATGATAGCCTTTGTCCTCTTGTTGTTGGTATGATCATCTTGTGAAAAGTTTGATGCCTGCCAAGTTGTGATGCTTTCATTTCAAATAGGTTAAAAGGTCACTGAGCAGGGTTAGAAAGACGGGGCTCAGTGCTGAAGTCAGGGTTGAGGGGTGTGAGGTTTCAGATCCAGTCCTGGCACATACAAAAGGAAAAGTTAAACTAATTTGTCTGTGTTTGATATTTCTTTTTCTTTTTTTTTTTTTTTTTGGTTTTTCGAGACAGGGTTTCTCTGTGTAGCTTTGAGCCTTTCCTGGATCTTGCTCTGTAGACCAGGCTGGCCTCGAACTCACAGAGATCCAACTGCCTCTGCCTCCCAAGTGCTGGGATTAAAGGCGTGTGCCACCACCGCCCGGCTCTGTATTTGATATTTCTGTCCTTAATTTTTTCAAATTGGAAACTAATATCCAAATAATATACTATTAAAAACACTTAGTGAGAGACTGGAGTCACATTTCACTGGTAATGTACTTCCCTAGTGTGTCTAAGGCCCTAGGCTCAATCTTTAATACTGCACAAATAAACAGAAGTGCTTAGAATTCTAAGTATGGTCATGGGCTATATTTTTTATTTTTTGTTTGTTTGTTTGTTTTTGAAGACAGGGTTTCTCTGTGTAGCTCTGGCTGGCCTGGAACTTAGAGAGGTCCACCTGCCTCTGCCTCCTGAGTGCTGGGATTAAAGGTGTGTGCCACTACTGCCTGGCTTGAGTTTTCAATCTATGGAATCCCTGGTTTTCATGAAAGTTCCATGTGTTTATAGAATAAATTAAGTTTCCAGCTCTAAATTCAAAGCTGTTTTCATTAAAATGCATTTGGATCTTTGTTTTTTGTGTGTGGGTTGTATTGAAAGGAAAGATTCTTCTTCAGGATAAAGCTGGCTTTTTTTCTTGACTCTGTTGAGGAAATACTTTTTGTACTGTTCTTTTTTATGTAGTGGTGGGGATGGAACCCAGAGCTGTATGCATTCTCAGCAAATGCTGTGTCACTAAACTGCAATAAGGGGCTTTTAAACTTTGATTCTGTTACATTAAGTTTTTTAGTACATTTATTTTTATTTTTTTGTGTATGGGTATTTTGCCTGCACATATGTCTGCACCACTTGTGTGCCTGGTGCCTGCCAAGGCCAGAAGAGGGCATCAGACTCCTTAGGGACTGGAGTTATAGATGACCATAGCTGTTATGTGAGTGCTGGGAATCAAACCTGGATCCTCTTGTTTGTCTTTTAGATAGGGTCTCACTGTGTCGCCATGGCTGACCTGGAATGTGGTATGTAAACCAGGCTTGACTTGAACTCACGGAGTGCCTCTGCCTCCTGAGTCCTGGAATAAAAGGCTTGTACTACCACACGCAGCTCCAAGTCTTTAAAAATGTGAAAACCTGGGGTCTGGAGAATGTGTACTACCCTTTTTGAGGACCTGAGCTCAAGTTTGGTTCTCTGAACTCTTTGCAGAGCAGTTCACAATCACCTGTAATTTCCAGCTCCAGGAAATCCGAGGTCTTGATCTGTCCTCTGCAGGCACACATAGGCACATGTGCACATACCCACACACATAATTTAAAATCTTTTTTTTTTGGTTTTTTCGAGACAGGGTTTCTCTGTGTCGCTTTGCGCCTTTCCTGGAACTCGCTTTGGAGACCAGGCTGGTCTCAAACTCACAGAGATCTGCCTGCCTCTGCCTCCCGAGTGCTGGGATTAAGGCGTGTGCCACCACTGCCTGGCTAATTTAAAATCTTTATAAACCCAAACTCATTTTATCCCAGGACTGTGTGTTCAGTGCACTGGATTTGGTCCAGGAGCCAGCTGCCTTTGTTATCACAAATATATAATACCGGGTCATTCTTACTGTTATTTAAATATGGGACATTTCATGAGTTTGTGTATCACTCTTGTGAAGCCATTTTAATCCTTTCTGTATCATCCCAGGTTTGGGGTGTGTGTGTGTGTTTTCAGTGTAGGTCTTAAACCCAGGTTCTTACACACATCAGGCCTATCCTTTACCATAGATCTACATATGCCCTAGGTTCATTTTACCTTGACTCTTTATTCAGGTCTATTTGTAATTATGATTATTTTTATGATTACATTTTTGTAAAATGGCTTATCACAGTTTAAGGTATTTTTTTAATTATACTCGTAGGCTGGGAATGTAGCTCAGTGGTAGAGTTGTTGCCTTGCATATGTATTGACCCTGGATAAATAAATAAAACACTCATTAAAAATATGTGTAATTCTCCAAATAATTGAAACAATGAAATGTAAAACTTAGCTAGGTTTGGTAGCACATGCTTACAGTCCCAATGATCCAGAGGCAGAGGTGGAAGGATTGTGACTTTAAGACAATTCTGGGCTGTATATTACCTGTTGCAAAAAAATAACAAAGGCTGAAGATGCCATTGTGTGGTAGAATACTTGCCCAGTGTCCATGAGGCTTTATCCTTAGCTCTACAGTAGAAATGTAGAGCTTTGTGCTTTTCTTTCCCATCCTATTTTTTCTGTCCCCCAGAATGCCTTTGTACCTGGTATGTGCCATTCCAGACTGTCTATGCACAAGTACATAGTGGTGCACACACAAATTCACCACTTTGTTTTTTATTGTTATTTGTTCTCCCTCTGGCTGGCCTGAACTTACTATGTAGACCAGGCTGGACTGGAACTCAAACCATGTTTTCAGCTACAGTGTGCTTGGTTATTTCTTGACAGAGATGTGACATTTTGCAAGCACATAGTTGTGTCTTCCACCTCCCCCAGAAAATACAGAGCAGCATTAAGTGCACATTGTTAGGGCTGCCATCCTAAGATGATGGAACACTTGGAGGTTTATGTAGGAGTCCATGTTAGAGTGAGTGGTTTATGTGAGCCTTACCTCTTTATGTTACCTGTATTACTTTGTTCTTCAGGTCACACCTCTGAGGTCTGAGAAGACAGAGCTAGACCCACATGGCTTGGTCAGGACAATTAGAGAACTATGAGACACAGGAGCTTAGCGACTCACTAAGGCGTGTGTTGTTACCTACTTTGGGGTTTTGTTTGTTTTTTTGTGTGTGGGTTTTCTTTTCTTTTTGATGCAGGGTCTCAATATATAGCCCTGGTTGTCCTACAACTCACCATGTAGAACAGTCTTCATCCAACTTGCCGGAGTCCTCCTGGCTTTACCTCCTGAGTGCTGGGATTATGTGCTACCAGGTCTGTCTTGTTCTCTGTTTGCTAATCCAGGCTGTTGTTAAACTCACAGTGCTCTAGCCTCAGCCTCCCAACTGTTGAGATTGCTACCATACTGGGCTGGGAAATGCTTCTGATTGTTTCAGTTTAGTATTTTGGCTTGGCTTTCCTCATTGAAATTCTGATTAAGATAGTTGGACTATTACCATGGCTTTTGTACATAATAGACTAAACAGGCTTTCTGTTTCTAATGCTAGTCTGGAAACTGCTTGCTGTTGATGAGTTTTCGAATCTGTGGATCTGTTCTATGTGGAAAAACTGACTTACAGATTGGTTTTCAAATGTGTCTGTCAAGCAGACCCATAGATGTAACATATCTGAAAGCTTTTTATTGCATTCACTCACTTATTCATGTATTGTGGCGGGTGTGTGTGTGTGTGAGTGTGTGTATACACGAATGCTGTACATCATGTCTCTTCTTACCTGTGAAGGTCAGGGGAGTGTACTCTCCATCTACCATGTGGACCTGGAAATAGAACTTAGTTATTTAGGTTTGGCAGGAAATACCATCACCTATTGAGCATCTTACCAGCCCAGCATTATACTTTTCCCCTAGAGCAGTATTGGCTGTTCTAGAATTCTTTTTTCTTAAGTTTTTTAGTTTTAATAATTTATTTATTTTCATTTTATGTACATTGGTATTTTGCCTACATGCATGTCTGTGTGAGGGTGTCAGATCCCCTGGAACTAGAGGAACAGACAAATGTAAGCTGCCATGTGGGTGCTGGGAATTGAACCTGGGTCTTGTGGAAGAGCAGCCAGTGCTCTTAATTGCTGAGCCAGCTCTGCAGCCCATTTTTCTTAGGTAGTATATTACACTACCAGGGTAGTTAGGCCAGTAGGGGTTCTCCTCTACTGTTAACCAAACTCAGATGAAAAAGCTAAGCATTTGGATTTTTTTGTTGCTCCCTACCTCCCCACTCCCCCATTTTATAATCAAAGCCCTAAGAGGCTCTTTAATGTTCATTCTAGGAAAAGGAGTCTGAAGCCTGGCATTGCATAACATGACTTGCTGTAGTTTGGATGGACTTCGTTCCCAGCAAAATTTATTTCTCATGTATAATAGTGGGGAAGAATATGGTCTTTAGAGTTGTTATGCTGATAAGGGTGATCAGCGCTCTCCTTGAGTGTGTTGTAGCTCTAGAAGGATTGGGTTAGTTACCTCCAGAGTCCTCTTGCTTTCTACCAGGAGATGCAGGAGTACATTGCCCTTGATGGTACCATGCTGTTGGCTTTCTGGCCTCCAGAACTGCCAGCTAGACCCACCTTTCCATTCAGACATTCTGTCTCAGCAGCAGGAAACAGACTACGATACCTCTAACAGGAGCCAGGATTGTGTATAAAACCCTTTAGGAGTATTCAGATGCTTTCATGAAGTGTGATGTGTTACCCCCACCCTCTATGTGTGTTCTTAATAGACAAATAGTGATGCCTGGCTCCAGCAGCTGCAGGGGCTGAGTCCTGTCCTATTTATGCCTTCCAGTAACTTAGCCCTTACCCTAAATGTTACTGTTGGAGCATGATTTGTGACTGTGGTGTTTCCTAGTTGATTAGTGCCCGTGACACTGGCATGCCTGCCCAGGAAGTGAGCTAAGAGCATAAGTCAGAAGATCTGAATAGCTCCGATTCTCAGTGCTCATACAGCTTGAGCCTCAGTTTGCCTGTCTCTAC